GGGGGGGGGGGATAGGAGGCAATGCCGTATTCTCGAAAAGTAGTTGTATAATATTTCAGTTCGTATATGTTATTGCATTTTTTATGTTATTGCCCGCTGATGGAGAGTTCATTTGAATGCTACTTATAAAAGATAATGAATTAAACATATTAATTTAAAAAAGGTATTTCAACTTCAAAATTCTCCGAAATCCAGACCGGGGAAAATCTTTGAACGATTTCCAGTTTTTGGCGGACTTACAACGCTAGAAACCGGGTTTCGATAACCGTGGTGGGCAGAGTACAGATAGCCCATTGTGTAGCTTTGTGCTTAATTCCAAACAAAAAAAAAAACAATTTGTTGTTGTTGAGTGTTTTATGCATTCGATTGTTATGTCCTAGTTTCATAGAGATAGCATATGGTTTATTAAAATACATACTTCAGAAATTTAGTTTGATTTTATTCATGTGTTACATTCTATGATAACATAGAACTTAACAAAAAATACTGTAAAAATAGATAAAACAAAAACGTTACAAAAATTTTTTAAATAAAAATAGGAACTTAAAATTAATTTATTGCACCCTAGACCTCTTTCTTGGTTTTTCTTTTACAAATGCATCTATAACGTTGTCGTAATATAATTTTCTTGTTATCTCCCTCTCGATTGATAATATAATACTGATAAAGATTTTAATCTTTCTTGTAACATAATCGATCTAAAGCTATTTTTAACTCTAGAAAGCTTAGAAAAAATCTTTCAGAAGTACTATTTGCCACAGGTATACACAAGTACATTCTAACGGCTACGTCGAAGCTGGGAAAGGTATCGTCCAATCCAGTTTGACGCAAATATTTTGTAGTGTCTACGTGGCTTTTAATTTTATCGCTTAGATGTGCTTTTAAATGGATGCATTCATTGGGAAAAGATGCATTTAAATCTCCCTTTGTACACTTCAATTAACTTTTCAGGATTTCAAATGATTTCTTCATTTCCCTTTTTTGACAAGATCATCAAAATGCCAAATCTGTTTTCTATAATATACTTCAATTTCTTTAAACGTATCTCTCATACATTTGTCGATAACAACATAGAAGGTTTCTATCCTAATTTCATCACGGCCTGAAAGTTGTCCTTCTACTCTGACACTATCGTCAAATTTGTTGTTGTTGTTGTTGCTTGTTATTAAGCACAAAGGGATATCTGTGCTCTGCCCACCACGGGTATCGATACCCGGTTTCTAGCGGTATAAGTCCGCAGACATACCGCTGTGCCACTGGGGGGTCGTCAAATTGGAAAAGTTATTTTTTTCGCTATAGGGTTCTCTTATACACAACCGTTTTGCTTGTTCTTCTTAAATCAGAGATGAGAAAAAATAACTCAAAAACTGGAGGTGTGAGGGCCGCAGGCCCCCACTGGGATCCAGGAGCAATGCCACGGTGGGAATTTTTATTACTCATTAAAATCTAGGTTGGATATTAAGAGGGCTTGTCCCCTTTGAAACTGAAAGATTTTCATACTCAGAAATGCATTTATAGCTATTCCTGGAGTCACTTGCTCAGAAAATCATAATGAAATTTGTCATATTATCTTCAACATAAATAACCAAGCACTGATAAATTAAGTGGGGAGGGGTAACTATATACTTACTGCACTAGACATGTATATCTAGATGCAGTGGAAATTCTATTACACATCAAAGCTCATAGCTGTAATTGTTTGGATCTGCTGACTCGTAGCTTCTTCGCCTACCGTAGGCGGCTCCTTTGACGTTAGTTATGCAAAATGATTTGTTAGGTGGTGAATAGAAGCGTTGACCTAAATTGACTTTTTGTGGCATATCAACTGAACGTAGTCTTGTAATGCTCCAATACCACGTGTGCCGTACTTAATGGTCACATTTTGTTTGAATTTTGTGAAAAACGGCACAGAGCACATGTCGCTCTTTCACTGTCTCACCCTTCATGTTTTTCAGTTCGATTTCGACACCTTTATCCATCCATACCAACCTCCAAGTCTCTCTACTATTTCTATCGAACCTTATTGTATTCCTTGTCGTCAATTCTTTTCAAAACTCGATCCATTTTATTTTTAGCAGATACTATCAATGCTCGGTAGTTACAACAATGTTTACTCCATAATGCACCTAGATTAGAAATGATTCAGAATATTATTTAATCTAAAAATCACCAGTAAAGTAAATCTATAAGTATGTACAATTTAGTAAAAGACTGTAAAAAGTAGATAATAATATTAAAACGAACTACGTTCAGGACTCGCCAAGTCTCACAGAGGCCTGGCCCTCATTGAAATTTTCTTCTCAAATTTACACGATTCACAGGAATGACCGATAAGACGCAAAAATACGCGGGAACTTTTTAACCCTGGTAAATATCAAAATTATTTCTAGTTAAGTTGAGATATTCAGTCAATGCTTTGTATTCTCTAAGTACAGAAGATAAAGCTAGCTCTGGATTTTGGATATATTTACTTGTGGCATTAAATCTTTTAAAATGTAATACCAAATTAGTCATTAAAACAGCTTCCAAGTTATTCATTTTTTCTTTAATTACCTATGCATCGTGTCTGACTAACATAGGTTGATTGATGTCCTCCAAAAGTTCAAATAATGCTTCTGGAATTTTAGTATAGCTAAAATTTAAAGCTTTTGTCGCATCAGCTCTTGCTAACCAACGTGTGTCCGACAAAGATTTAACGACAAGGTGAATTCAAATATTTTAATAATACTGTCCAACGTTACGTTACGTAGAATATATATACAGTACCTGGCAAAAATATTCGTCCCTTATCAATAATGTCACATTTTGATGAAATACAAATAATGTAAACAATTTTTATAATTGTTTTATTCAAAACTCTAAAGATCAAACTTAACACTGTTATGTGTGAAGGAGGTTGAATGTCAGCAAAACCTGAAAAGAAAATATATAAATTGAAATTTACTCATTGCATAAGTATTCAGCCCCCCCCCCTATGTCAGTACTTGGGGGGGAAGCACCTTTGGCAACAATTACTGCTGTGATTCTGTTTGTATCTCTATCAGTTTTGCACAATGGGATGGTGTAGTATTTGACCATTCTTCCTGGCAAAATTGCTCCAATTCTGACAAGTTTGACGGGGATTGTTGATAGACTGGAATCTTCAAGTCTCACAATAAATTTTCCATTGGATTCAAGTCAGGACTTTGGGCCACTCCAGAACATTCGCTTTCTTCTTTTGAAACCACTCTAATGTGACGTTGGACTTGTGCTTCGGGTAATTGTCCTGGTGAAATATGAATTTTTGACCCAGTTTTAGATTCTTGGCTGACTCAAACAGGTTTTCTTCTAGGATTCGGCTGTACTTTGCACCATCCATATTTCCCTCAATCCTGACAAGCTTTCCAGTCTCTGCTGATGAGAATCATCCCCATACCATGATGTTGCTATCACCATGCTTGACAGTTAGGGCAGTGTTGACTGGGTGACGTGTTATGTTGGCTTTGCACCAGACGTAACACTTCCTGGTTGCGTGGCTGCTTAGTTTGGAAGGGCGGCCTGTTCTGGGTAGTGACTGGATGATATGAAGCATATTACACTTTTTAATGATGGACTTTACCATAAAAAAGGACAATCAGCGACTTTGAAATTTTCTTGTAACCTTCTTCTGATCTGTGCTTCTCTACCACTTTATCCCTGACTTGTTTTGGAAAGCTCCTTGGTCTTCATGGTTGATTTGTTGTATCACTATGCGAGTCGTGGCTTGAACAAATGCATTTACTCTGAAGTCAGGTTAAATCACTTTGATTACACAGAGACCATTACACTAATGTTGTGACCTTTCAAACTAATATTTTGCACCCGAGCTGATTTACGGTTGGCATTCTCATACAATCGTCCTCTCTTTCCAGAAGTTTAGCGGGTAAATAATTTAAATGTTTACATTGTATGTATTCTAGGAGTTGTAGACTAAAATCTTAATGACTATGCCCTGGTTATTTAACGTGTTATTAGAGCGCCTGTCCTGCCCTTTTAAAACTGCGAAATCTCACCTACATATTAAACTTCACATTTTCTGCAGCTAATCAAGCATACAACATGTTTAGTACCGCAGTAAGTTCCTGAAGCCCGTTATTACTTACAGTAATTGTTTGTAATGTAACTAGTGAATGTACTATTATAAACTATGTGGTCACAAGTTAAAGCGTTTCTACGTAAACACACTGAATCGTTTAAATCATGTGGATAAGAACGATATACCAGTTTTGGTCATAACACCTTTATCTGTAACTTTGATATAACTTGACACTGTTATCTTTTAATTTATACGTAATACTTCAACAAAGTATTTGGATTCCTTTTTCATTAAACAATTTTTCAGCTTCTTAAATAGGGCTGTTAATAATCTGTTTTTCATTCAGCAGATAGGTGCAGTTCATTAAAGTTCTCAAACTTACTTGTTAATAATTCTCCTTTCCTTCTATGTGACATATTGTGAAAGCATCCATACGTACAGCTTTTCGGATAAGTGTATATTTTACTATGATGCAAAACTTTAAGGATTATTAATTTTTAGATAAAGTTTACAACCAATACTACTTCATAAATATCAAATAAATACTGATTTCTAATTTCAAGACATTCAGTCAAAACAACGCTGTGAATGTGACTAGTAAATGAATACCAAAAAAAACAAGTATTCAAGATCATTGAATAGAAGAGGCTCTTTAACAAAACAATTTGTCAAAATGCTAGAATTTTATTTTTTCATAATTAAAACAAAGTACTACGAGAATTTGCAAGCATATGGCGAAACTTCATAGCTCATTAAGCTAAGTAATGAATTATCTTCTGATTGACAGTATTATCTTGGGACCATCAGTTCTGACAAATAATGGATATAGCCCACACACCATCTCCATACTTGTTCATTTTGACAACATTCTTTGTGTCTATACTGTTCTGTAGCATATACAACTTTTCTATTACACAAGACTATGTAGCAATTAGCCAGTGTCACGTTTGACTGTGTTCTCTGACTCTGTCATTTTCAACAACACATTTCATACATTTTAATTTAGAAACTTGAACTTGTATCCTAATGTTTTATCGTGGTACATAATGAAGATATCTTAACGAATAATAATTTGATCAGTTTTACAAATTTGGCGTGTAGGGTTGAGCTAACACCAAGTACATGTAAACTATTTACAGGTTTTTAATGTTTTGCACTTTATATATTTTGGTTGTACATTAAAAATAAGTTAATTCAAGTGTTTATGATTAAGACAGTAAATATTTTTAACACTTCATTCTTAACTGAATCATATTGTTCTGGGTTGTTAATATCCATTTGCTCAATGGTAATGTTGTGACTCTGTTGGTAAGAATCTCTGTCAGTATCCTGGTAATGTATATTTGAATGCAGGTTAAATAGGAATAATGTTGCAAAACTAGTATATAATGCATGTCATTTTGCTGGACACCCAACATATCTATATATATAAGTATGGTATATAAAAATATTATAATAGTCTTATTAAGCTGTTTATTTACCAAACTTCTAAACTTAAGGTATTTTAACTATCTAATCGGAAGCATGCACCTTTGAAGAATATAAACACTTAGATTTGAAAACGTGATGAACTAACAAACAACACAGAATACTGGTGAAAAAACAAAAATTGTTTATTACTTAATACTTCCTCTTAATCACTGGTGTTCCTCATACAATCTGAATATTTGGTAAATTTCCTTACACAGTTACGTACTATAAAACTTCTATACAGTTTTGGTCAAACTTTGCTTAATTTAGTGGTAAGGAACAGATACACTAAGCTTAGCCACAAGTTAGTAACTAAATAGTGGTGTACATAAATCTTGATTTATCTGTAAGGGACACAAGCCAAAACCAGCTCACTAAGTGGTAACTAAGTAATGGTGTTTATAAATCTTAAACTGGTATTAACAGACACACACCAAACCCTGCAAGGTGATAAATACAGTGGTGTTTGAAGTCTTGTAATAGTAGTAAAGGATGCAAACCAAAACCAGCTCACAAGGTGGTAACTACAGTGGTGTTTTAAGTCTTGAACTGGTGGAAAGGGACACAGATCAAAACTAGCTCACAAGGTGGTAACTACAGTGGTGTTTTAAGTCTTAAATAGTAGCAACAGACACAAACCCAAACTAGCTCACAAGGTTGTAACTACAGTGGTGTTTTAAGTCTTGAAATAGTAGCAACAGACACAAACCAAATCTAGCTCACAAGGTTGTAACTAGAGTGGTGTTTTAAGTCTTGAAATAGTAGCAACAGACATAAACCAAAACTAGCTCACAAGTTTGTAACTACAATGGTGTTTTAAGTCTTGAAATAGTATTAATGGACACAAACACCAAACTAGCTCACAACTTGGTAAATCAAAAGCAGTATACACGAGCCTCGATTTAATGGTACCGTGCACAGTATATGAAGTTAGCTACTAAAGAACAATACATAAAATTTGATTAAATAGTACAGAACACAGGCAAATTCCAGCACACAATTTGCTGACAAAACAACTATGTATGGAAAGTTTGATCACACGATAAGGGATACAAGCCAAACCCAACTCATTAGTTATTATGTAAAGTTTACAGAAATCCTGATTTATTGTTAAGGGATAAAAGCCAAATCCAGCTCAAAAGTTATTGACTAAAGTTTACAGAAATTCTGATTTAGTGGTAAGAGATACAAGAGAAACTCAAATCTAAAGGTGGTTAACAAAAAACAGTGTGCATGAATGTTGAATCAGTGATAAGGAATACAAGACAAATCTAACTCAAATAAAGGTTGCTATACAGTAAAGTTCATGTAAATTGATTTCTTTTCCTTTTTAAATATGCACGACTCTACAATAAAGACAAGAAATAATAATCATAAAAATTTAGCTACCATTTGAACACAAAATGATGATGGACAAATGACAACAGTTGTCTATTTCTAAAAGAGATGCCACTAGTTTCTAGAAGCTCATTTAAAAGTGTTAAATATAACAGGAAAAAATTGTGATGAAAAGTTGGTGAATGTGTGAATCTGTATGTCTAAGTACATGTGTCAGGTTTTTTAACTTACCAGCTCCTAGGACTAAGATGCTTTTCTGTATAAAGTAACAACACAAAGAAATCACACATCAAAATACACAAAATGTGAAGACAATCATTTCTTTTACTTTATACAAACAGAAATGTCTATTGTATCAGAATTGACAGTTTAGTGTTCCCGTGAAAAGATATGTAACCCACAATACTTTCACACATACATAGAAACAAGCTAAATATGACATTTCATACAAAACCAAAGTTCTTTGTTTTAATAGCCAAAAGAAGTTTAGAGCGAAGGATAGCTTTGGACGAGTACAAAGGGATGTAAAGCCGAGAGATACAAGTGTTGGCAGTAGGCAAATGCTGGTCATCTGCTGGTCTGATAGTGATGCTTGGCATTGGCTGAAACCCTTCTTCACTTGCTGGGAGAGCTGGGCTACCCGTCCAGAAGTATACCTTTAGCAATAATGAAACAAGTGTTATAAAAACAGAAACAAAATGTTGAAAGTACATAATTAACACATTTCTCTTATGAGTTAAAACACACAATTCACATACTCATAACTTAAGACATAGAATTTGATTTTGAGAAGATCATCTTAACTTACCAAGTCTTGTTTCTCATGATTAGCCATCCTCTCAACGATTGACCAAAACCAACGCTTGAACTTGACAAGTTTCTCTCCTCCTTCTCCTTTGTAGAAGAAAATAAAGAAGTTCTTTCTTTTAATAACAAAAAAAAGTCACATGATGTTTTAACAATCTATGAAAATATAAATGCTATCTTATACATTAACACCAAAAAAATCAAGTGTTGGAATTTAGAAAATGACCAGAATAATGCTCTCTTGCCCCTCTTCACAAGAACTCTACATATCCTATCATACAAAGAGGCAAATCCATATTACAACAACAACAACAACAACAAAAAATTGCTACTGTGTCATTTTTACAGAAGCTACCACACCAAAAGATAATCCACAATGTGAACATGCAAACCGACAAAGTACCCTTCTTTTCAATATACCTCAAAATAACAGTAAAAAAACCAAAAAAGTATACCCAAACTTTTATATATCACTCTCCCATACCTTCTTACACATTCCACCCAATGATCAACCAAGAGTCCACAAAATGTGCACAAACCACAAACTTTCATATAAAGTTCTATATCCCTGTCCAAAAGAATAGATTGTGATTGTCAAATTATTAAACATGTATAGAAAATACAGAAGCAATTCGTTGAATTTCAATTTTTAAATGATAAATTTTCACACACACACACGCACACAAATTCTAACAAAAGTGTTTTACTACTGCTAATATATGCAATACAATGTGCAAACTTTATTACAGTTATTTTAAATAGGCCTTAACTGTATTAAAAGATATGAAAATAATTTTTTTGAATAATTGATATAATTTCATGAAACTTAATACAAACTTAATAAACGGTATCTAGCTCCTGCTTAAAATAAAAATAAATTTTATTCAGTACTTCTATCATCTTTTACGTTGATAAATTTCCAAAATGTTTTCTCGTTACACTGTTTCAGAAAAAAATAAAAAATACTTCCTTCATTCTTGGAATTCAGATTTTTTTTTCTTATGATAGTCAGACTCTTCCACTTTATATATATCTAATCAGTTTCCACTCAACTTACGTTTATTTATATATATATATATCTTATATTACTTTATTTGTCAATTACAGTAGTCATCACTGCTGTTGTGAATTATAAAAAATTGACAAAACTGAGAAAGATTTTTGGTGACCTATGACATGACCTTTAAAATGATGTCACCGTTACTTCTGTCAAGCTAATTAACATGAACTTTATTAAGAATAATCTCGGCTGAATCATTTTATGTCTAATAAAGACAGTTTCTTTTAAATAAATAATGCTTTTTCTTTATTTGTGAGAATTGTTTGAATACAAAAACTTAACAATAATATCAATAAGTAATGATTTGAGACATAGGAATATTTTTCTGCCATTTACTGTACTTGCTACATTAACTACACTTAGCTGATGTCTTGTCTGCAACTTTCATACTGATACAAATTAATACAAAAAGCATTTTTAAGATTGAAAGGAATGTCTAAAGAAATTATAGAAAAATTCCAAGATCTTTGGTTTGTCATAAGTCTTCTGAACCTCCTACAAGATTCCTCTATTCTTCACTACAGAAGCTACAGTTAGTAACTTTCCCACAAAGCCATAAGTTACTGTTTAAACCACTTTATTTACACTACATTGATGCAAATGTCTTATAATTTGTTCTACCATCATATTTAAACATTGCCTATAGCCATTTTCAAAGCTGTGTTATGACATCATACAAAAGTGGCAATGAAGGCTGGGATATAATAATAAATCACTAATAGAGAAGAAAAATCAAATGAAAAACAAGTAATGGATAATCACATTTCCAAAGAAATAATCATTTCTTAGAAAACAAACACAATTTGTGATTGGCAGAAAAATTATAAGAAAATGATAAATGCATTGTTTACAAACAAAATTCCTTGGAGCTACACAGAAATAAAAGTCTGAACATTTTTATTTGTTGTGAATTACACTAGTTAAATTATACAAAATGACAAAAATATCAATTCTAAAATTTTTTGAGTTAAACTATTTGTGAATTAGTTAGAATTACTATTTTTCTTTAAAGTTTAAAAACTGATATGCAGGAGGATGCATTTAATGCCAGAAAAGTGCACACTAATCATAAGGTTAGATGTGGAATTTACATCTATGTCCTCAAGAGATGGTGTGTAGTATAAGCAAAAGGCAGTAAAATGTGTAAGGAATGTCAAGTGAGGCTGGTATAGTCTTATGTTCCAAAATGGTTAAACTGTGTAAAATCAAAGGTTCATATTTGACTGTGCAATCAGATTATTTGTCAAATTCCATCACAACATAGAGTATATAATTAAGAAAGAAGTACTTAAAAGTTTGAGTCAATTAAGTCATATGGATGCTTTAAGACAACCACTATAATCTAGCAGCAAAAGCTTCAATACTTCCAAATCTAATTAAACAAATTATATTTACATTTTTTTTGTTATTCAAATTAAAAAGGTGTTATTCTTCACACACACTCCGATCTAAATAATTTAAGCGCAAATGAAGTAAGGCATTGCACTTCTTTATGTATATCATTGCTACTTGAAAACATTTAATAAGCTTCAACATAGCTTACTGGCTTGCAGACACCTGTGCAGGCAGTCTCTTAACCCTACCAACATGGGTCAAAGGCCATGTCATCCCATTTATAGACTCACATTCAAAATTTTATTGAAATACTATTTTATGAATGTATGTCAACAAGTTTGGTATCAAATTGTAGATTATAATTCAAATTTTAGTATTATATATCTATTATATCCTAAATATCGATTTTTGTGTGTCATGTAGTATGTTGAATGCAGCATTGGTTCAAATTAGATGTTTGTGATGTCCAAATACAAAGTCTATAGTTTCTTATGAATTACGTATCAAATTACCAATAGTGACAAGCTAAAATCTAAGATAAGAACCTCCTATCTTTTCTTTTTTCTGAGATATTAATACATTTATTGAATCAATCAAGGTGGCCCTGCCCACCTCTTCCATTTTTTGAAAATACTTGCTTCCATACACCTACTTCGCCCAGTGATGTGTGTATAACCAATAGAAAGCTCAGTATGTCCTCCTAGTGGTTTTCTCAGCCTCTCGAAGTATTTGTTTGGGAAACTCTTTCTTTTCATGCTAGATTCCAAGTGGTAAGGTAAAACATTTGTGAGCTCGAAAAATCATATTTTTTCAGACCCAAATACAGCTTATTTATTAAGCTTGATAAGTTATAGTGGAATTCTGTAGTACTGATATAGTAATTTATGACTTTTGGTTATTTCAAAATGCATATATAAAACCCAAAAAAATTAATTTGTTTTAAATCCTCCACGTGCAAAATTTGATAATGCTTAGCAACTTATGGCAAGCAGTAAATGAGTACAAAGTTCATAACTAGCAGAAATAACTGTTTGCTATACTTCTTTATTTATTGTTCTATGTTTTAAGAAAAATAACATAAATTTAAGAACTTATTTGTAAATAGTAATAATGTATATACATATATATATAATGTATTACAACTGAAATGTGACTGTATTTTACAAAATACTGGTCCACTAGAACACACCCAAGACAGTTCACTCTGTAAAGACTAATTTTATATTCTTGGATACAGTAACATGAGTGCATGTGTGCCTCATCATTACAATGTCTGTAATGTTAGCCAGGCATGGCTGAAAGGTCAATAAAATAAAGATAATAAATAAATGTATAATGTTACGAGCATTAAGTTATTTAGAATAAACATTTGTGTTTTTGTGTTATAATTTGTAGTTATTCTAGAACAAAAAAAGCATAATTTATCTATTTCTTAATTTTTTATGGTCATTATGAGGTCAGTCAAATTGACCAAAGCCATACAAAGAGACAACAGTGAAAATAACAGATAAGATATAAAGTTTTTTCTGAGAAAAAACGTTTGATAATTATTTGAAGGTTATAAAGATTTCACGTGTGAAATTTGAAAATCTTCTGATGCATAAAAGAATTTTTAATCTTAAAATCAAAATTACTTTGAATACTGGATAGGCAACATTCAAAAAGAAAAAATGCAAGAGATAAACATTACTTAAAAAACTTAAAACCTGAAGTTTTGCATACGAAAGCCTTGTAATGTTTACTGATAATCTTAAAACTTTTTTGAACATATACTTACTGTATTAAAAGTTATAGCACGAAAACTATAACAAGCACAAAATGGTTATGAGGTCAGTTACTGGGACTGAGCCCATACTGAAAGAGTTAATCCTACCACATGCTATGCATGGAATTATGTGTATTAATTAACCCTCTCCAGATGGGCCTTTCACCTGTAACCCGTCTCGAAAGGGTTAAGCTGTTTTTGCATTAGAAAACAAAACGACTGATTTTTGTTGTTGTTTCTGCATGTCCCTTTTCATATTTAACTAGAAATCTAAAAACTTTTTTTTCTCGTTTGCTGGAAAGCTCAAAATGACTATTTCAAACACTGCAATTAATGATCTACAATGAGAAGTTGGTTACTAACTACTTTTCTGCCTTTCATATCCACCATCAAGCCAGAAGGTCAATAGTTTAACAAACTATGGTAGAAACAATGAAAACACAAAATAACTAACAATACTTAATGGGTATCAAATGAAAGCACCCACAAAGTGACAGAAGAATCAACAGAATCTATAACAAAGAGAACCCACATAATACTATTATTTTTGTGGTCTGTACATAAAGACTCGTAGCTAGATTTAATGCACATATTTAAAACTAACCTTTCTAATCTTTATATACATCATGTTACTAAAATAATTCGCAATATTAGCTAACATTATTAAAACAAGTTAGTCATCTTCCTTTCATATACCTTACAAATACATAATAGTTAGCAAGAAATACACATTTAATACTTACCACTTTCATCATTAAAGGATGTGTAACTAATCAGAGTTTGAATGTTTATATCACCAACACCATTAAGTAGTAAACGAAAATCTTCAGCTGTCAGACCTTCTAGGGTGTTAGAGGGCAAAACATCATACACACCAGTCCGAAGTACCTGTCAATCGAAATAAATGTCATCAGCTACATCAATTCATAAACAACATCATTAGAAGCACTTAGACACGGCTGTATTTAATATAATTACGAACAGTTATTCAAGTCTTCTTAGTATAGAACATTAATAGCACTTATGCACGTGGATAAGACAAGGTGCACACATTCAAAATTTAATTAAATTGTTTTATTATCAATGTATGTCAATAAACTGGGCATCAAAACATGGTTGATAATTCAACTTTTACTATTATTAGACTTAATTTCTTAATTTCAAAACAAAATACTTAAATAAATTCTCAATCTTCATTTCTTTGCTCCAAATTGCCCATTTTAGATTTTCTTACAATCTCTATACAATCTTTTGAGTTTGGCACAGATTACAAACTTATAGCCTCTGAGCTTCTTGCTTTACAGAGATATAAACAAGGAAGACAAACCCACATGCCATACCCTCCTATCACATTCAGTCTTTCAAAAAATGGCTGTATTCGGTGAAATTTATAACCAACAGAAAGATCAAATTGTACACTACATAAATCACGCTATCATCTATTTTGTTTGAGCCATATTAGTAAATAATTTGCCCTCAGAGTTCACCGAATTAGAAAACCAACTAAATTAAAGTAATTTTTCTACAATCTAATCTACTGAGAGACACAATTCTAGGTCAACAAAATTTACATAAGAAAGCTACATCAATTATAATTTTGGACAACAAACATAGTAGGAAAAAACAAGGTTACAAAAGCAGGTACTAAAATGCAAACTGGCCTAGAGCTAAGTAAATTTCTAAATTTCTTATGCATATTTATATTTACTGTTATATATCTTTTGTTTTGTTTGTTTGTAGTTAAGCACAAAGGTACACAATGCTCTGCTCACCACGGGCATCGAAACACAGTTTCTCGCATTGTAATTCCAATGACATACCACTTTGCCACTAGGGGACATTATATATCTTTTAACAATAGTAACAAAATGTAAAAACAAAAAACTTAAGTTATACAAGAAAACTTATATGGGAAAGAAAGACTAATAGAAATTTTTTTGTGATCACTTCTCAATGAATGCAGGATGAACATACAAAGTTAAATGTTGTGTGGTGTAACCTGAAACTTTGTTTACCCTAAACTCTTCACACTCTTGCTAGGTGATTTATTGCTTGCCACAGTAGTTAGACACAATTCAATGAGCAATAAAACAAGATTAAATGAAATCAGTTGTGAAAAAGTTAAGAGGCACAAAGCTCTTAAGATAGATAATTATAATTGCCTGTTACAATCTGCAATCATTATAGTTGAAAAAAAAGTATTTTTAATTTTATTTCATATTTTTCAACTTGTTTGGGTAGAGAAAATAAGAAATAAAGTATAAAATTTTACCAAAAACGTTTTGATGTTCGTTTAGGAGGTTTTAGTGGTAATACTTACAAAATATGAAAATTGCAAGATGAAAAAAGGTATTTCTATTCTTAATACAAAAATCACCTTGCACCTAGACTGATTCAGTAAAAGCTTTGTAACTTTAGTAATGAATCTGATTTTTTGTGTACAACATTCATGTTTACTAAAATCTTGCCAAACTTTGCGAAGACACATGTAGTAAATTCAGAATTATATTTAACATTAATACTCAAATATGGGCATCAGTACAAAGGGATCGATCCATGCATCTAACATGAACAATTTTAGAAATATACTTCATTATCAACACAAACATTTCTCCATCATCAACACTGATTCACACTCTCCTATAGAGATAAAAACAGTAAGAGCTATTAACACTTTTTCATATCAACTTCATCAATAACACAAAGATTTCCATAATGTCATTGAAACCTCCAGAGTCTTCAAAAAAAAGATATCAATACACTTATTAAAAAGACTTCATTAGAACCAGATTTCCAGGTTACTAATATCAATAGTTACTTACATCTTTATCAAATTCAACAATCAGTAAATGATGAAAGGATTTCAGGTACACCCCAGAGCTTTTACAACTTACCAGATAGTTATTAATATCTTTATAGGTACATTGGTAACTATTAACAGTTTCACAGATATATGTCACTAGTTGTTACCGGTCTTCCAGAAAAACAATCAGTTATAGCATGATACAATAATCATAGTAACAACTATTAACTTTCTTGCCATGAGCTTGGTTGACTTGGCCAAGTTCATGACCCCAAATTGACCTTTATAGTTTCCATACTATAATTTCTAATGTTTTGTTTATCTTCACGACATTTTGCAATCTATCAGTAATCATTAAGAATCATTTGTAGACAAAGAAAAAACAGAATTTTAATGAAATATTTTTACTAAACATTTCTCCATAAATATATGGAAATAAAGTGTTGACTGCTCCAAGTGCAAAGTGATTTTTAATGTAGGAGTAAAAATACTTTTCTTCATATGAAATATCTAAAATTTCATTTGTGTAATCGCTAAAACCTCCTAAAAAAATTTCAAACGTTTTTCTTTCAGTAAAACTTTATATTTTCTCTACCCTAACTATATACAAAGTTGGTCAATTTCACATCGTAACCACAAAAAAAATTAAATAAGTCAAAATTACCATTTTTTTTTCTATAATGACTTCAAATAGTAACACAAAACTGCATTTGTTTATCATTAACAGCTTCAAACTCATAACAGTATACGTATCTTTATGCTTAAATTTTATTGTTTTATTGTCCTTTGAACCATGTCTAACTAATACTTCCATCATAAAATTTTTAAATCATTTGGCAAACACGTAGTTCATGGTACTCTATCGAATTATGTAATCCACAGGCTACTCACAAGTTGCTCGTGAATGTACCACATTGAAAATTATTATTATTTTACTTAATCTAACCTAAAAAGTTTCTCATTTTTACATTTTAGTTACTTTTATAATAACAAATAAAGAATACACAAGAAAAACAAGAAATAAAATACTTACCTGGGTCTTCTTTTTTTTCTGCTGAGTGTTGAGGAAACTTAACCCTACTTTTTTTGATACTAATGGTACTACTGCACTAAATAATTTTTTATTTAATTAAATATTGCACCAAAGAACCGAACAATAACACGTAAAAGCAGACAATGTCCCATAACTATCACAATTTTTCTGGCCTTCTAACTATGTGATAAAAGCCGTTAAAAATTAAGCTAAACTTGTCAATGTGATTTCCATGTGCAAAATTTTGAACTAGAAGTAAAATAAACAATTCTCTACATGGAAAACAATGTAATATATCACTTGATAAATTAAAACCTTGGCTTTCTATTGGTTATAAAGAGTATAGTATCAAATTTCAGAGAAAGCTATTGGAAATTTGTGAAAGAGAGGATGTGACAGATGTGCGTGGCAAGATAGGTCCGATTTTCTAGTTTATGGCTCTGTAACTAAACAATGATGATATTATAGTGAGTAATTTACATTAAATTTTGTACCTATTAGAGTGGTGGTAAATAAATTAGAGAAGAGGGAATAACTAGAGAGCAAATGTCACAATTTTCACACTAGGGGAAATTCATGATTCCTTTTTGAAATAGTGCCTTATAAAATTACGAACTTAAAACTTGTATAATATTAAAATTTGGATTATTAGCTACATTTTTATTCCAAGTTTAATTGTATACCGTGATAAGAAAGTAGTTTAAATAAATTTTGAATATAACTTACTAAAACCTGTGCAGAAAAAGATGCCAACAGGGAAAGTGTTAATGGGTTTCTAAGACAAACTTAACTGTTACAAAGAATTGTAAATAAAACAATGTTTAGATTGATCAGGTTGAAAGAACATTAAACCCTTAACAGATGACTTCACACTTAATTTCAACTCAAAGTTTCCCAAAGAAAGAAATACCCACATTAATCCAGAAGGAATACTCACCTCTAATGCTTTCTGTTGAGATATAACCATTCGATACTCAGCATAACGTCGCACATAGTCATACACATTCTGGGCTGTTACTTTAATGTCTTTTCCACCAGGAATGAGTTCCACACTACCACCACCCTGTAAAATAAATACACTTTTTATTGAGTACAACTAAAAAGGGAAATATTGAAAAAAAACTTTATAAAAAATTTCCAAATAATAACTTTTGATTTTTGATAAACTACCACCCACTTCTAGAAAAATAATAGTGAAAATAGAATAAATGTTACCAAATGCTGACACTGACAAATTATAAAAGCACTTACTATTTATATTTGTGAAATAAAACTTAAGCTCATCAGGTTATTAGTTAGAACCAAAATTTGCAAGTATCTATTCACTATAATTTAGTCATACTGGATCAAACTCAAAGCAACAAAATTAAATATATATATACAACAATTAGGTATCACTAACATAACAATCACCCTTAATACATGAACATATTCATGCTCTCTCTCACCTCTTCAGGACAAAGATCAATGCTAAAGGTTAGGTCAAGTGCAGAAAATATACTGTTAGACTCCTTTGATTCTGCATCTAAGACTAATTGTCGGAGGGATTCATAGAGAAGTGGGTCAAAGAATGCAAGGTCATGCCAGCCAACTCGTCTGCCAAGAATGTACTTAATCACATGTCGATTCAGGAAGATGGGACACAACTCATTTTGAAGAAGACAAAGACCAAGAATCCTAAGAAACCAAATACATGGTTTTAATGACATACATTTTATAAAGGAAGACTATCAGACTAATAGTTTCTTTTTTTTTGGCTATTTTTGCTAATTTAGCATAATACCTAATACCATACTTATGTATCACTGCACCATCATGAGTAAAAATAGAAATATACAAAACAAAACAATTTTCTTAGAGTTTATTTTCATTTTCTCTGTGTTGTTATCTCCTTCTATCAATCACTTTCTCTGAAGAGGTATTGTAAGGTCAATTTTTGAGTTTCCACATTGAATATTCAGAATGAAGTTACAAAACAAAATACACAATAACAATTAAACTAAAATTAATTATCTGATACTTCACAAAAAATGATTGAAAAGACTTTTCTTTTTTTTTCTATCAATGTATTTATTAATTTTATCAATTAATTTAAACATATATACTCACAAGAAGTAACTATTTTATACTAATATAAAACAAGAAATATCTTGCATTTCAATATAGTTCTGTCAACAGTTACCAAGATACAAAAAATATTTTGTTTTCAACATACATATATCAATATTTGCAAAGCTACAAGAAAAACCTTGCTTTGATACAAATTCTTGTCAATAGTTACCAAGATACAAAAAATATTTTGTTTTCAACATACATATATCAATATTTGCAAAGCTACAAGAAAAACCTTGCTTTGATACAAATTCTTGTCAATAGTTACCCATTTATAAAAAATACCTTATGTATGAATATACCTTGTTTTAATCATCTTGCTATGAGATCGGTAGATTACACCAACCTCATGACCTCAAAGTGAACATCAGGGTTTTCATACTATAATTTTGAATAGGTTGTGTGTATCTAAATGAAATTTTTCTAGCTTTTACTTCACATTACTAGTCTTTTGTAGATAAAAAGTCAGAATTTTAATTGAAGCATTTTTACTAAAAATTTGTCCATAGACATACGGAGTCAGAGTGTTGACTGCTCAGAGTGCAAAATGATTTTCATGTTAAAATTAAAAATATTTCTTCAAAATAACAATTTTCAAATTTCATTTGAATAATCTCTAGAACCTTCTAAATAAATAAATGCCTTTTTTTCAGTAAAATTTTTAAATTTTATCCATTATTTTTTCTACCCGTCTGTACTGGTTGGTTGATTTGACCAGCCTCGTAACCACTATAAAAAAAAGGAAATAAATCTAAATTTATCTTTTTTATTTATAGAATGACCGCAGAAAATACAGGAAACTATAATTGTGTATCCTAAATAGCTTAAAGTTCATAACAGTTTACACTTGAATTTTATTGTTTTATTGCTCTTTGAACCATGTCTAACTAATAATCCTGCAACACAAGTTGTAAATCACTCAAAGAATGTGCAGCTCACCTTAATGGATTGAATTAGGTAATATACAAGGTGCTCACATGCATACCTCATGAAGAATTATTATTCTTTTTTCATAATCTTACCTAATCTAACCTAGTAAGTTACTTTTATAATAATAAAGAATACACATGAAAAACACGAAATATAGTATTTACATGGGTCTTTTGTTTTCTTGCTGTTAACTGTCAATGACATTTAAGCCTACTTTTTTTTATACTAATGGTACTACTACACTAAATAATTTTTATTTAATTGAATAATGCATCTAAAAACACAGAATAATAACATGTAAAAAGCAGACAATGTCTTATAACTATCATAATTTTGCTGGCTTTCTAACTATGTGATAAGAGCCTTTAAAAATTCAGCTAAGCTTGTCAATGTCATTTCCTTGAGAAATATTTTGAACTGGAAGCAAAATAGACAATTCTCTGTACAGAAAACAATGTAATATAATATATCATTTGATAGAGTAAAGTTTTGGCTTTCTGTTAGCTATAAATAATATGATACTAAACATCAGAGAGAACTATTGGCAATTTGTGAAAGAGAGGATGTGACAGGTGATTTAGTTTATGGCTCCATAAAGAAATAAGATTGAAAGCTATAAAAATTGTGCTTTGCCTGAGAAATATCTATATTATAATGAGTTAATTATGTTAAATTCCATACTTCTGAGAAGGATGGTGAATAGATTAAAGAGAGCAAATGTCACAGTTCTCATACTGGAGGAGATTGAGGACTTTTTGAAATATTTCCTTATAAAATTAAGAACTTAACGCTTATATAATAACATTTGGTTTATTAATTATGTTTTGACGCAAAGTTTATTCATATACAATGATCATAAAGTACTTTAATTTAGTCTTGAATGTAGCTCTCAAAAAGTCTTGACATGCCCACTTACACCTGCCTGTAGCAAGAGGATTAAAATGTGTGTGTGTGTGTGTGTGTGTGTATATTTATATACCAAGCTTGAAGGGTACTAAAACATAGGAGTTTTAGTATTTTACTTACCTACTGAAAAGAAATGATTGTGGTAAAAAAAAACAAATAGTAAGCTCTAAAATGTGCTAAAAAATGGAAACCACAGTTCCTCATCGGGTGTCACACCAACAGTGCTGAAACTCTTAAGGGAACATAAAATATTAAAACATATATCAATCACTCTTAAAGTAAAATACCTACATACGGTTTTCAAATTTGCAGTCTTTACTTACCGGCCAACATTTCTAAAAGCATTAAGACGTTCTGGTGTATACTTTCCTTGTCGTGGGGAGTAGAAGCCTCGCTTACCAGGTTGATAGAATAAAGGTGCATTATCTTCAAGGTCGTCCTCATCCTCTGTGTCAGCTCGACGAGAGGATCCTCCTCTTCTGCTTCGATCACTTAAGTTAAACACATCGAGATCTAGAAGAGCTTCTGAGCTGGAATCTCTGCAACAGATGTCTCATTAGTAATGGCAGTAACTTTGTATAAGTACTTGGAAAAGTTAACGAAAACTATACATGAAATACTTATACCTACATTAGCTTTATAAGATACCCTATAAACACTTAAACCCATGATGCTAAGATGTTTCACTCATTACTTGTGTCTCACTCTGATGTAATAGAATTTGAATCAAAAAAGTTAAAATAAAAATTATTTAATTTTCCAAAATGTTCATCATGGAAAGTGTTATAGCTCAAATACTGTGAAAAAGTACCCAAAATAAGAGTATTATGCTATTCTTCATTTTTATATGTAGTGGTAACTACAAGTTAAACAACCAAATATTTAAAGCCTGCACTAAGCCTAATGATGCAACATAACAGAAGTGTAACACGCCTAAAAATGGAATAACTAATTACGAAAGTGTACTTGATACTCACCTTTTATACAATCCAAATGTTTTGTAGTTTTCAAATATTGTAAAAATTAATATGTAGAACTACTGACATTAGTAACCACCTTAATCAATAACTACTTACTGGTTTGAATTCAGATCAATTGAGAATACAACTAAATGTGAAGACACATCCATGCTGTATGATAAAATTGTTAATATTTTTTTGTATTTCAGATAATTCATGTACTATTTTGTGACTTTTAAAAATTAAAATAATATATTTTTTTAAAGCAGCAATTCTGTTGCTTTACAGTTACAGTTTTTACAAACCTTCCATGGGACAAGATTATATCAACAGCTTCCTCAACCTTCTGTCGAAGAGCATCTTCTGAAGCTAAAAGAAGTAACAACTGTGCTGCTGACAATTCCAATAGCATCCCTGTGATTTTACCCGCCAAAGACTGAAATGTTATAAAAATGCCTTTAATACGAGTCTTATTACTCACCTATAGTATTAATAGACCTCAAAACTTCACATAATGCTGTAGTGACATTAAGTAACATATGTTTTAAAGCAATTAAAACTTATTATATAAAGGTATCTTAGACATTCATTTAAAATTTTAACACAACTATTTTAAAACTTAAAACAGCAACATTTCATCCAACCTAAATTTTTATTGTACAAAATCAATTGTAAGCTATAATGTCACTGTTAGTTTACTCTTAAAAATATTGAAATACTTTCACTTATACATACTTAATAAAACACTTTAAGAGCTTAAATGTAAAAGCACTGTGTGTCACCTATGCCTTACAGGTTTTCAGGTATATACTTTAGCAACAGTGTGTAATGCAGCCTTTTAAGGTCTATGAAAAATGTGCATCATCTGAGTCTTACCGGTCTTAATGTATGTACCCTAGGGTAGAGTCTTTGTCCAAGCTGCTGTCTGTGTGAACTGAGATGTTCATTACTGGCTTGACCACTGCTACCTGCTTCTCCAGGCATAACAAAGGGAGGAGCATCATATCGCAAGGTGAGCTGGGAATCCCGCTCTCGACTTTCCAGGGGTCTCCAGGAAGGATTGGCTCGCCGCAGACGCTGGATGAGGTCTGTGTAAGGAGTTAAACAGATAAATAATACAATTCTAATTTAATTCACTTAAAGTTACAAGATATGGCTTGGTTCAGTAAAATATGGCAGATGTTGAAAAAAAACAGTTCAAAGTTTTATAAAAAATAAAACAGGAACAAAGTTTGCCCAAACTACTATCAAATTTAAACTCAATTTTTATTTAGGGTTCTGGAAACTCTATATAATATTAATAGGAACCATTTTTTTATTGATCTTTGGGAACACATTCAAAATTAAAACATTCTTTCTGTCCAGACACATTGGTAATTACTAAAACAACCTACCTTTTGTAATATTGCAAACCATTTCTCTCTAACGAGTGTTTATGAAGATTATATACTAAATAACATAAAAACAGTGTTGTGATAAAAGTATACTTAACAACAAAAGTTTCCTATCATACTGTGATATCATTCTGTTCATTACTAATATGTTATAAAAATCTCAAGAACATCTACTTCAAGGTACCAAAACAGACTTATTATCTGCAACTACAAATAGTAATTCATTAGTGTCTAACATAGTATGAATTATTCAAATTCAGTAGCTTTTCCTTACAATTACTAATTCCATTGTAAACTGTTCGGAGATGACATAATGTGTCTTGTAATGGGGTAATAAAACTACTTTTGCATTATGTGTAAGTTTTTTGTTGGTTTATTGAATTTCTTTACAATTTCATACTTATCTTTCAATCACGTTAATCTTTTATCTTTCAGTTATTTAAATTTTTATATTAAACAAAAGTCATAACAATAAACATGAATATTCCTCATCTTCAAATGGTCTTATTATATCTAAATGCTTAATTTACCTAAGATGTGATACCTAAAACTGCTTTAAAAATGTGAAAAATAACAATAAACAGCAAAAAAAAAAAAAGGTATGACATCAATGATGAAAACTAGATTGTGACAGCATTTACTCCATCACTGCTACCAAATATTTCGTCCATAAGACACTTTTGTTTGTGTGTGTATTTACTAGGAGCATATAATGATATTCAAGATTGATGGCTTTACTATATATTATTATGAAATTATTCATCTAAGATATTTAGCATTTATTGAGTCAACAAAAATATCCTAAAATTCTAATTATATATAATGAAGTCATAAGTTTTTAAGTTTTTATTTTAATTGTTTCACTTCTTTCTAAAACCACAAAATAGTTTTTCCTCTCTTTTTAAGTTTATTCATTAAGGCCAAGATGACTGGTACCAAAGCAAACTCTGTAGATGTTTGAATCAGTTATAAACACTTCATCTGGAATATCTATAAGTGGATTTAAAAAAACAAGTCTAATATTCTGGATCGAAAAATTAGAATACTTACTATACTGTAAAGATCTATTTCCAACCTGGCAATTTTTCAAGTTTGGAAGTCGTTCTGGTGAAAGTACAGCCTAATGGAAAGAGAACATGTTATTTAAAAAATAAATGTGAAGACCAATATATCATTCAATTTACCAATTGTCACTGAGTTATACTGGTTTAGGGGAATTCAACTCCCACCCTATTCCCATCAATACCCTTGAACAAGGGCAAATTGAAATAGCAAAACTAAGCTTTATATAATGGTGTAATTATTCCAGTTTCTATGTGTAATCATATTACCTCTTACAATTTTAACATTTTCGTTAATGAAAGTTAGTTCTGTATATATGGCCTTGCAAAAAACTAAAATCATGCAACCAAACATTTTAAATTATGCACCATAAAAATTTCTCATTTTTAGAAAAATACAAAATGTGCATTCAATGTAGCCAAACTTAATATAATGCAATCCTTGCATTAAGCAAAAACAGCTGACTTTACCTAGTGTTGTAATTCAAACCTTCATTACGGAATGAACCACCGATTATGCAGTCATATGTAAAAATATGGAAAAACGTTTCAGGTATGTAATTATGATAAACTAAGGGCCCGTGGTATGAAATTGTTGTATTTTAACATTACTTTCTGAAAACATTTGAAGCAAACTTAACTATTTAACTTATCTTCACAACTGGTTTTGGCACCTACAAAATAAATCTCTTTGACATAGTTTTTACTAATAGAATGATCTTAATGAAGGCCTTCCTTTTCTTTAAGTAATTAATTTTACATCACAAAAAAAGAAACTTGTCAACTTAAAGACAATCTACAAAACAAATGAAATATGCAAAAAATGAAATTATCTAATAAGTACTCAAATATTACAAGTATATAGCCAATAGTTTTAGCCTGTTCAGAATAACAACTATTAAAATTAAAAAATTCTCACTAGATAGCGGCAATGATATACAAAATAATGGTTTTAAAAGTTAGCATAAAAGTGGAATGGATCGTTCTCATTAAACTCAAATCTGTTTCAAAACTTGTATCTTGTTATATAAGCTATAACTTCCATTTAGATTTTCGATTTTGGAAGAAATCTTGATTTCACATCTCTAAAACAAACATGATAATATGGCTAAACAATCTTACTTTCATCACTTCATATTTTATTCTTAATTCAGACTTGCTTTAAGTATGCCCTATGTTTAATTTTCAGAGGCCACGTATGTGATCCCAAGGCAAATAACTTGCAAATTAGTTTCTAACACACCTTATATCAAACAGGTGTGAAGCGACATTGTCTTAAAAAAGTTACAACAATGCTTGACCACAAGCAATCTTTAACCAGAACTTGAAGCTTTGAAATAAGGTGACACAAATTTTTGACATTTAGATTGTATTGCAGTGTTGTATCCAGCACTTTTTAGTTACTGTTATTGTTGCACAATAACATATATGTAGCATACACATAACTTAGACATCCTGTTCCAATGTTTTTTTATAAAATCTAATGATTCAAGTACCTTATTTAAATGAAATGTTGCATAAGATATACAGTAAAACTTTTAAAATTTAAGTACTGAATGATCCTGCATTAGTAACCTATAAAACCATTTATGTGCACACAGAGAAACCTTGGTAGTTAAATCTCCATAGTTTACTCCAATAAATCTGTTGTATAACATGCACACACACCATTACAATTAAATTTTTATAAGCTATATCTTATATAAATCTTATACTAATACCTGTTACACATTTATGCAAATAAACTAATACTTATAATTAAACTAGCACTGTCTAACATACTTCTGCAATAGCAGTGTAGAAGCTGCGTGCTACTCCACTTCCTTCACCAGGTTCATCCTTAAATGTCACTTTAACACGAGACACTGCCAGAGGTGGAGTGCTACCTGCTATTCTCCGGCTATTATGGGTGTTTAGTTCTTTAAAGGTTTGTTGCAGTAAAGTTGTTCTGGATCTATCAACCTAAAAACAAACCACTCAATAGTAAGAGACAATCTCAGTGTAATTGTAAAATATGTACAATTTACAGCTTTTTAATGTTAAGAGGCCTTTTATGGCAAACATAAATTTTACAGACAACTAAAACTTTTGTCTTATGTAGTATATAACACAGTGAAGTAAGCATTTAAGCATTTTTGAAATTATTAATTAAACTTTCAATAACTGACTATCAAGATGAAAATGTAAAAGTTAGCAGATAATCATAAATACTCTAATAAGTAGTATACTGTATTAAACTTGTTAAATTATTAAATATTCAGCATAATACATGGAATCATGCAGTAAATAAAGATTACAGTTTTTTAGTAAAGAGCTTCAAATCAGTGTGCACTTGCAATCATGAAAGTATGGCAATTCTTATACTAACATATTAATAGTCAAAAACATTCCCAGAAAAAAAAAAATATTCAGCAACATATTTTAATAGCAAGGGGTTACTATTTGGTTTTATTGAAATCCTTGTTATCCATATAGTTATAGTTTAAGTATATGTTTTATTATCTGCTATACAAGTTCCAATTCAGTAAAATTATATACCAAAGCCATACAACAAAATAAATTCTGTGGAAAAAACTTCAAAATCAGTAATCATAAAATTAGATTACCTTTGACAAATTCAAGTCTCGTTGTTGAGAATTTCGTAATTTTTCCATTTCCCTCCTAAATCGAGCTTCCTTTACAGGAAAACCACCTAGTTCACTAATGACAGAGCCTGGTTCTGCACCCACATCATCTACAAATACTCGACCAAAGAGTTCAAGAGAAAGTCGCCACCTCCCCAGTAACACATCATGAGAAACTAGTTGGCCAAACGTGTTTTGAGCTCTGAAAAATATATATATACTTATATCATGATTAAAATCATTTTCTCCTTGTTAAACTACTAAACATTCCAGAAAAACAAATACCACAATTAGCAAATTTTCTTTTTGAATAATCCTACATGCAATGTTCCTTAGCTTTGGACCTATAGAAAACACATCAAGGGTTAAGGCACTCAACTGATAGCTCAGTGTAAACATGGTAATACAGTATAATGTTCTACTAATAAGCTGCTTTATACTGAGACTGATTTTTTTTTATATCATTTGTATTTATATGGCTAACAGCATGTGCACATGTATATATATTTAAATGTAGCTGTATGTGTGTTTATTTTAATGTAATTATGAGTGGACTCAAGTTTAAAAAAATGTTAATACTTTACAGATGCTGCAGGATAGCTGCTTACCTGACTGAAGTTGATCCTGGCCCTGAGCCTAATGACGTTTCTTGACAGAGGAGACCAGAATCTACCCTGCTGGAAGTAGACATACTGGTATTGGACATGGTTGTTGATGGATACAGATAGCTGGAAGTAATAGTGACTTCAGCCACAGGACTTGGTGCTGATGTGCAGTGAGACATACCGGAACTCTGATCAGACGTCACAGTACTTGAAGGTCTGAAAGATCCAGCATGGACAATAACACTGGACTTCACGGGTGATGGAGCCTCCCGTTTGCTAGGAGCAGCCACAATGATCGGAGCTCTTGAACTCTCTGTAGAAGGTGTAACTGATTGGTTGTTAGACTCATTTCCAGAGTATAGTCCACTGGTCCCAGGCATACCTCTGCTAGACAGGGATGGAAACCATTCAGCACTAATTGATCCTTCGCTGGCCACAGCAGAACTTGAAGTGGTGTTAGTAGCAGAAGCAATAGAAAATGAATTGTTAGGAAAAGTTGGTTGAGACTGTGTCTGGGTGACACTAGTCATCTCAAAATCTGTTGATTCTTGTTCTGGAGGTGGAGGTGGAACTGGAGGAAGTGTAGTAGGAAGAGGTGGAGCAGAAGGAAGTGGTCCACAGCTAGAACTATTGGTAACAGAAGTAGAAGCCACAGTATGGAAAGGATACAAGGGGAAATGCTGGCTGTGTAGATCATTCCTTATAGACAAGCCGAGCCTGGTTGGTAAGTTTTCATAGAGGTTATATACAGAACAAGTGTCATGAATGGTTTCTCCTGTGTTGGTACTGGGACCAGCTTGTCGTGGAGTGCTGAAAAGATCTTCTCTTCGAGCATTAGGGGTTAACAGATGGGGCTGGTCTGCTAGTGGTAAGGCTTCAGACAATGGAGTGGCAAAGGGATCAGGAGGAGGACAGCCAAGAAACAAAGTAGATTCAGAACGTTGGAAGAAAGAATGTTTTCTTCCCTTGGATGTAGAAAGTGGAGAGTCATCTTCTGCATTGTAGATGTCCATCAAGACAGAAGGAGTTTCATCATCATCTTGATCCTCATTATCATTTTCATCCTGGAGAAATATTTTCATTATATTACAATCATCATCCTGAACTTATACAGATTAGGTTTTCAGCTGATTCATTGAAAATTTTAATACTTATATTTCCTGAAAATAAAGTACTTTTAATCCTATTTTGAAACAGCATAATTAATGTTTTCCTTCACCTTGATACAGGTATTGAAAGGATGTTCTGAATGTTTTTTTTTTCGAGACTGGTAAATAAAATGTTTTAAAAATAATACTAATTGGAAAAACCAAAACATTAAAAATTTAGCCACAGGTAGAAATTAGGAGATTTATGTAATAGTTTCTTATTAAATAAATTTTTAAAAATTTACTTTCTAAACAGGAAATTCAGTTAGTGCATAAAAACTATTTGGTTAAAATGTTCAATCTTTTGTACATAGTAACTCTCCATAATATCTGAGTGGTTAATCTTTTTTGATTTTGGTTTTACAATGAAATATTATTTTAAATGTTTTTTATGTAAACATTCAATTTTTTCAAAATTTTAAGAAGTAAAAAAAATAAAAACAGTCATAAGAAGACTCAAATTTACAAGGTCATCCACCTCAATTACATTTATGGTTTACTCCTAAAATGATAAATCACTTAAAGTAATACATATTTTTGTAAGAGAGATGAACTAAACAATTCCCATAGAAAATACAGTGAGGCTTAGTTCACATAAAATCCCATAGATGACAGTCAGCTAAAAAATTTTCAGTTTGTTGTCAATGGCATTGATGGGGTATAAATATTTTCACTTTCAAAGAGTTCTGCATTTCTACCTGGTATCATTACAGGGATAAATAACGTACACATTGTTTCCTTCATGGACGATGGTTTTCCAGGCAATACTTTTCATGTGCAATGTATTTTACATTAACTTTCTACAATTGAAACATTTTGAACATATATTAGAAGTGTGGATCTTCAAATAATAAATTATTATATTTACAACAAAGTGTCTGGATAGCATTTTCTGTGCTCCAATTACATATTGTGTAGTAAAGCTAAGTTTGTAGTGTTATAACTGATTCCTTATTCCATATTTTGGTAACCAAATATACTAAATATAAATGAAATTATTTTTAGATGTTTAGTTCCATGTAAGGTATATTTATGGAAAAGAACAATACAAACAAAAACCATAAATCTATAAAACAGCAACAACCAAACCTGTATAAATTCATATTATTCATTATTATATTTCAGGTAATACAAATCATATTACTGAAAAGATCCCTAGAGATCACTAATAAATTTTGGGATGATGATCTAGCTGTCTAGGCTGTTTAATATCAGCATATCAGTTTTTACTGTTACTAGTTCTATTATACCATGGATGCTATGACTGGTTTGTATACACTCCTAAATATTAGCTTGACCAATCACTGAAAAAAAAAATCATAACAACATAGGAATTCTAATTGGAAAAATAAATTAGATGTATGTCACACAAGAACTTATCAATGCAAAAAAGGATAGTACTTCACATAGGCTCCACCTATGCAGTGTATCATAGATTAATGGCAGCTTGATATATTCATGCTGCCATCTATTGGTGTGAATCAGTAACACTTAGCTCTGAAGGAAAACCTTAGGTTCTACAGCAAACACTTCTATAAAACCAAGTAAAAATAAATTCTAAATCACTGATTAAACAAGCAATTCAATCTCCATTTTCAAAATTAAAATACATTCCAATTTTTTCCTTGTTTACACAAGTTTTATTACACATTAGTTCAGGATTATTAAAATATCTTGTGAAATGGCACATTCAGTACTTAAAGTGCAGCAATATAATAATATGTTAATACTTACATGTTTAGAAAGACTTTAAATCATACACTTACCTGATCATTCCAAGCATCCAGAGACAATCCATCACGAAGATCATCTCCTGCAGCACCATCTAACCCAGACCGCATGTAATAGATGAGAGCATCAAACACATAAGCCACATGCCTAAGGGAAGATATGTCAATCACAGGAAGAGAATCAAAGTGTTCATTATGATGAGCTCTCATCAGGGAAAGAGCATAAGACAGAAAATCTCGTCGAGCTGATACACTGTCAGACCCTAAAAAAAATGTCTTATAGTTAAACTAATTTCAAAACAGTGTTAGGTTTTGAAAAGTGTTTAAAATTCATGTTAACTATTAACCACTGTATGATTTAATAAAGATATCTAAAAAATTGAAATAAAATAACTTTTAACCAAGGTATAAAATGCTTAACAATCATACTAACTTTCAACCAGAGCAAGATTTTATATCTAACAATTATCAAAAATCATACTACTTCTCAGACATGCAGGGATCAAATTTAATGAAAACGCACATTATTCCCTGTTATACAAGTTTCATTGTGTATTTACCATTCTGTATAGTTTGTAGATAACAATGGTTTACAGGAGACACCAATTTGCAGTGTTGGAAATTTAGCTCTATAAAATAGTCACCAAAACAAAAGCTAATGGATTTTTGGCCCCTAAAACAGATACTTTGTCAAATTAAGCCACTGTTTTGGCAGCATCTTGAATGAGCTGCTGACTATAGGGAAATCAACTGACTAGTAGCACCTGTTGTCACTGGAATTGGCTTCAATCAAATCTTGAAGTTGTTTAAAAAAAAAAAAGCAATAGACCTACACACCAAAAATTAAGAGTATCAAATGACTACTGAATTTATCTGATGTAATCCATCATTTGAAATTGTGGATAACTTTGAGAAGAAATTGTTTTTGTTAAATGACTTGAATGATACTATTAACAAATAGCTGTCGTGAAAATGTTACTTCATTATCAAAATTGCATTTTTATTTTGTAGTTAGATATATTTACAATTCTCAAGTTTTTCTGTTAAAAGAGAAGCGTTATAAAATTATTATTAGTAAATTAATGGGTTATTACAAATTACAAAAAATAAATGTTAATGACTCCTAGTTTATGTACTACAACATGACTATCAAGTGTGTTTATTAGTTTAACTTACCATTACAAAACCTAAATAAATCATCAGAGGTAATGACTACTTATAAAACATTAGCTGGTTTCCTAGCTTTACTCTGATCACAAAAGCATTAAATAGGACATATGTTAAAAAGAAGTATCTTCTTTATTATATCCTTCAGGATGAATATGCTGGTTTAACAGTGAATAAATGGGATGAGCTAGTTTAACCAGTTCAGGCTAAACATAAGTAAAATTAAGATTACCTGTCTGTGTAAACCGGCCACGGCGACGGGTGTCGAGCACTTGCAGGTTACGAGTGTCTTCATTACGTCGAGTAAAACGAATATGTTGAACTGGCAATGAATGAGAGCGATGAGTAGGGTCAGAAATGTTAGCCAATGCACTTCCAAACCGTAACTGGGCCTCAGTGGAGTCCATAACTGTAGTAAGCCACTCCCAGGTGGGTTTCAAGCGATATTCCAGGTAATACTGCTTATACAGCAAACAAAAAACTTTTTAAGTTAAGATGTATCACTATGAGACATAAAGACTGGCTTCATTTAACTGTGCTTCAAATTTGAATACGTATCCTGAACAAGTTGGGTATGCCAAAAAAGATGCTTCTGTAGTTCAATTTTCAATTGTAATATAAACATTATCTAAGTGAATGAACTAATTAACTAAAGATTGTAGTTTCTGGGCAGCCTTTTGTTACTAAACCAAATAATCAAGGAATTAGATAAAAATCTTTCATAATATAACTGGTCTATCAATGAAAATAACACCTAACATGTAAGAATACTTTCGAACCAATTTCCAAATATAATGTTTCAGCTAACTCACACATCTGCCTGGTCTTTTTTTTTATAAACTACAGAGTAAATGGAAAATATTTTATAATAATGAGCTTCATCATAAGATACGACTAGGCATATGATTATGAAATGTTAAGTGCAATATTTGGTTACAGTTTCATGCAAGCTGAAGTGCTTAATGTTGAAAGATAGAAGGAAAACTATGTGGTTAATTGCTGGAACACAATGATACTGATCAACAAAATATTGCAACTGATAAGTATCACATTATCAAATATAGATGTATAACTAATAACATTCTTAAATTTAATTGCTGTTTTAGTTTATAAGAAATGCTAATAAATAAATCCACAGTATAAGCTTTATGAATTTTCAAGATTTAGGATCATAGTATTACTAATTGCTGGTAAATACTTAGTATATACATAAGAAAATACTCCAGACTGTACAACTTAAAAGACAGAAAAATTTTACAACTAAAACTACCTGTAAATTGTCTGACTCTTGATATGGTACATCTAGAACACAAGCTAAATTTGGAGTAAGGGCAGTGTAATCTTGTAGCATAGTCAGGAGATCTGCAATCTGACGAATTACAATTGCAAAAGCTCGAGCCAGTGAGACGGAAGTTGTTGTTGTGGTAACAGCACATTCCTGAGCAACAGCTGCAGCAACAGACGTGTTTGCATTTGTAGTGCGTCGAAGCGAGGAATGATCGATGTAAATGATCCCACCAGATCCTGCAACCAAATCAATGTTTTCAAGTCATATAACAGATGTACAAGAATTAACCTCATTTCAACCAAGTTAATAACACAGGCCTGCAAATTTAAACTTCATAAAAGTTGTTTTGGTTTTAATAACAGATTTTCCATAATTCAGCTATGCAAATTTCGAAAATAATATTCATTTTTATCTATCACATAAGGATTTTTTACAAATCGGAAAGAAGAAAAAAAACTATTACTCACATCAAATTATTATTTCTTTTACCACAATGAACATTTTTTATTATTATGTTTGTTAACAAAAATACAAAAACTGAAGAAAAAGGAAGAATGTTGACGTCAAACGAATACGTATCCTCATTCATCTTGATATTTTTTGTGAAATCTACGTTTTTTAGTCTCAAAACTGTGTTGTGGTCTTTCTTTTATGTATTGCGTGATGTATGTTTTGTGCAAAATCTGTATGTGATGGGAAAAAATGGATATCATTTTTGGATTCAGCATACAGGAAAAATTGTAGACAATAAAACCATCACACACCTTATATAAACTATAAACTGATTAATACATTAAATGACAAAAATAAACTTCTAGGTTATCTGCAAGTAAGATATAAGTAATATAAAAGCCAAACAACTTTTGAAAATACAAAGAACTGATAAAAATCATTGCAAAGAAAGACAAATTACATGGTCAACATTTTCACAAAACAGTTTTACAGCAAGTAATTTTTCTTTTGCATTTTTGGATGTTTATATTGTGAAACTTAAGATATTAACTAACAAGAAGTATTTAGATCAGCTTTTGTTTCCTCACCAGAAGCAGTGACTGTGTTACGACTTTGCTCCCTCTGGCGTATTGCCCATTGCATGTGTTGAGGAGCTAGGTTTGGTCTTGGGCCAGTTGCCCCTCCACCACTAGTCCGTCTCTCCAGCTGTTCGTCTAAAAAAGCTAGTTCCTCAGTGTCAGGTTCTGTCTCCCTTGCTTCACTCTCTTCTTCTTCTTCAGCATTAGAAGACTCTGCTGAATCATCTTCTGAGAAGTAAGGTAAACTAGCCACACCTGGAAGAATGAGTAAATGATGACCAATGGTTTCAGTGTCAAATGTTTTCAATAATACTAATTATCTTAAAACAAGAAAAATGTCATTAACTTTATAAACATTCCTTTTCTGAAAAGATATTATCAATAAATACAGAGATGCTTACCTGTATCTGAGCCAGCAGTTGCTCCTGTAGTAGCACTACGTTGAGCACTGGTGTTGTCCTGGTTACTTTGATATGATGCACTATCTGGGTTGCTGTCACTATCACTGTCACTTTCTATGATAAGTTAATGATGAAAGCATTATTGTTAAAACATAATTCTAAGGCATGGTACTGTGTCATACGTCGATGTTTTAAAATTACTGAATAAACTTTATGAATATTATAACCTATCGAAATTGGGCACACAGAAATTAGTTGATAAAAAAAAGGAACTATACATATTACGTTAAGCTGATCTTACCAAGAATGTTGTTAACCAAAATACTGTTACATAACCTGACCTGACACCATTTTCAAAAGTCACACCTCTGGTCACAATACATATTTGCCAGTTTATGTTGTATGTTTCTTAAGATTTATAGCTGGAAGTTGTAACTACTACAATTGGAAAAATAAAATGTTTTTTTTATGGCAAAGCTACTAAAGGTTATCTGCTGATGTCCATAATTTGATCTACCAATCAGAGGGAAGGCAATCAACTGGCAACATCATCACCAATGATTAGTGGGATTTATCATCATAATATAACATTCCCACCCACCCCCAGATGAAAAGGAAATCATGTTTGTGCTAGGTTACCATTTCATGACCCATAGAATACAAGTCAAGTACCCTAACCAACAACAAAAGAAATAACAAGGAAAAAATTTTATTGAATATGAATCAAGTTGAAACTCACTGGATTTCCTTGGAACTTCCTGATCACCAATTATAAAAAAACATTGAAATTCTTTGATCAAAGGAAGTATTTTTAATGTTTTTCTGAAACAGTTTCACAACAATATATTACAACAAAGAA